TCGAACTTGAAGATGCAAGCATTACAGATTTTGGATTATGTAAACCGATAACTCAAGATTCGAATGAAAAGAAAAAATCAATATTTGGAGTTCTTCCTTACATTGCTCCTGAAGTATTACGTGGAGATGAATACACGCAATCAGCAGATGTTTATTCGTTCGGAATTCTAATGAACGAAATTGCAACTGGTTTACCACCTTATAATAATGTTCCACACAATAGTGAACTTGCTGTGGAAATTATCCAAGGTAGACGTCCTCAAATTGATGCCCGCATTACGCCGCAATTATTTATTCAATTATTTAAGCGTTGCTTGGATGCTAAACCCGAAAACAGACCAAGTTCTCAAGAGTTGATGTATCAATTTGATAAATGGTTTGGAATTCTTAATACTGAAGAATATGATGAATTTTGGAATCAAGTTGAGGAAATTGAGAAAAATAAAAAAGAATCGTTAGGATCTATGCCAAATAGTCCAACCTTTTCAGAATCAAAGATAAATTATACGACTCATCCTCAAGCCATTTATTCAAGTCGATTATTTAATTTTCCGGTTTTTCCTCCTGCAAAAAATGCTTACAATGTTGAAAATACATCCGGTAAACTTAATTATATATTCCCCCTTTCACGCACTTTTTTTAATATTAAACAGCTAACATTTTTATTTAAAGTTGCGTCAGATTCAAAATTAATTGACTTGGAAATTTCAGATTTTTAATTTTTATTATATTTGTGCAAAATAATTTTTATTATATTTGTGAAAAATAATTATTATATAATCTTTGACAAAATTTATTTAACTAACAACGTATTATCTCAAATTATATACAAAAACAACCTCTTGTTATTGTAATTTGTATTGAATTAAAAAAATAAAATCATAAAATGAACCAAATTTTAATAAGTATTAAAAAGAGTTTTTTGAGTCAACTGCATAAAATATATTACCTTCGCAAATACAAAGTGCAACAACATTCAATACAGTGTTTAGTTTATCCATTTGACCTTAAATTATGGATTTATAGAATTCTTCCAGACCTTAATTCAGACCTTAGTCGTAAAATTATTCGAGGATTTAGTAATTATAAAATGCAACAATACAAAGTAAAACTTTTCTTATTTACATACATTTTATATCGTTTTTCGTCAAATTAAGTTTTTAGTGTCGTATTTATTTGATTTAAAGTTTAAAAAAATTTATGTACTGTACAAATGTGCTTATGTAATGTACATAATCAAACAATGCTAGTACTATTACATCTTTCACGTGACTAATATATTTATTTAATTAGAAGTTTAGTCATAATACCTATCACCAAAAGAAATGTAATACGCATTTAATAAAAGCATCTGGATTTCTTGCATGCTAGAATTACATAACATTTATTGGCATTTATCATATTAGCATTTATTGACATTTATTTGTAGTTCGCTTCTATCAATTACAGTATGATAGAAACGACACGACCTAAACAAATAACTAAGCTGGTAAGTTGTATTACAGTAGATCGTATATTAGGCGATATTCCTGCTCGTTTGTATTTTAAGAATTTTACCACCTTCTTTTTCTTTACGTAAGTCATTGTGATAGATTTTGAAATTGGAAACCGTACATGCTTTATGGGAATTAAATTTTACACTAAATAATACAAATAATACGTTAAATAATACACATAAAAAAATTTAAAATACTTAGAAAACTAGATAAAGGTGAAAAAATGGCTGAATCAACAACGAATAGATTGACATCGACCAATGTTGAAGGAAAGAATATTGATACCGATGAAACCGTTATAACTCATTGTATTTTTGATATGGATGGTCAATCTCTTTTTTCTCATTAATATGTAATTTTCAAACATTGACAAATATATCTTAATTTATATGATCGGTTCTCTTTAATAATGCAGGTTTGCTACTGGTAAATTTACTTAGTCGCGCACTCTCTAATATACCAATACTTGTGGGTTATAAATCGAAAATTTTAATTACCTTTTTATAGAACACGGAACAAATTTATTATGAAGTAACATGTAATAGTCGATATGTTATCTATATATTACTACATAGTATCGCTAATATTGATTCGAATAATACTATTTATTTGGTTTTTAGCCGAAATTTTAGCAAGATTTGGAAAAACTTACTCGTTGGAACTCAAATCACGTTCATTAGGTCTTCGCCAACATGAGGTAAAAATTTGTCATGACATTTTATAAGTAAAACAATTTTACCTTTATAAAATTAAAAAATTTTATCTAGTTTGCAGTTCTTTTGATAAATGAAACAGGTATTGATATGACGCCAGAAGAATTTAATAAGGAACGAAATAAAAGGAATGTATGTTATATAGATTTAATGTCAATCTTAATGTCAATTATTTTAAGTTTGAAATTTTTTTAATGAAATAATTTTTATTTATAAAATAATTTTTATTTATAAAGTTTGACAGATTCCCTTTCGCTAAACCCATGCCCGGTGCTATGGTAAATTAATTATAGAATACCTATTTATTTTCCAAACATCGCACCTAAATCAAATATTTTGTTCATTGAAACAGCGACTTGTGGCACATTTGAAAAAGCATCGAATTCCAATAGCAGTAAGCATTATTATACGAACAAAAAAAAACTTTGCTTCACTTTAAAAGTTAATGATAAATACACTCAACTAAATAAACTAAATAGGTGGCAACGAGTTCGAGTCGAGAAAGTTTCAATATCAAAGCTTCTAATAATAGAGAATTATTCGATATGTTTGATAGTATTACTTGTGGAGATGATGCGAATGTCAAGAATGGTAAACCTGCACCGGATCTATTTCTTGCAGCATGTGAAAAGATGGGTAATCCCCCTAAAAATCAATGTTTGGTATTCGAGGATTCAATTAATGGAGTCAAAGCTGCAAAGAACGCAAACATGAAAGTAAGTTTTTTTTTCTCATAACAATTTAAATTCATTTAAAATGAATAAATTTTAAATTAAAATACCATTTTAAATTAGGTTATTTGGGTACCGGATCCCATGATTGCAGAATTTTTTCCGAGCAAAAATGGCGCAGATGAAATGATTTTTTCTTTAAGTGATTTTGAGCCGACTAAATTTGGGTTACCACCTTTTGTTGATGAACCGTGTTCTGCATAAAGATGTACCCATATTTATTTAATTTGACCATTAGACCTCGGTCAAAATTAACTTAATACTTACTGATATTGTTTAGTAATAGTTATATGTATGATTCTGGGCGGGAGTATTATTAGATCAGCAAAACTAAAAAAAAAAAATTAGTAATTCATAGATGAAAATTTAGAAACAATCGACTAAAAATTAAAATTTTAAAATTCTACGAACTTATACGTGCGTATGACTCGCTTAAAGATTTCTACTTTGCAGATTTGAATGTTAATAACCTGAATTGGCTGTGTATTCAGTTCCTATACAGAAAAATTACTACTTACGTGTCATTATGATTCTCCTACGTAATACATGTTATTATTGAGATACAAGGAACCTTTCCTTATTAATTCTATCTATACCAAAGTTAGATTCATTCATTCACATCTGTGTATAATATGAAAATTTTTTCAAATTTTGCACGTTCTACATAATGAAATAATATCAATGAATAAACTTTCTAAAAAAAATCATTTATAACGTATCACAAATATACTTGCATTGAAACTATTATGAGAGTTATGCTTGTAATACAAAAATGTCGTAAAGGCTGAAATTCTAATGTACGAGTGGAAAATCCAATAGAGATAGTGATAGTGATGATAGAATTTACAGAACCCGATTATAGATTAGATTATAGATCCTAATATAAATTGGTTCTATATAGAAATAAATACGTATTTCCAGGTAACCCGGGTAATCTAACAATACTAGGTAGTGATTTTCTCACTATCCCTACTTTATTAAATTAATACAAAATGAAATATTCGTATAATTCATACAATTCAGGTGACCGTTTCAATATTTGTATCTTTTTAAACAAATCAAAATTTGGTTATTCATTTAATGCCTTACTTATACGTACTACAAAACTTGTTCTTTTATTCGATCAATGGAAGCGATCTTCAATGTGCAACCCTTCTTGATGCTATACCTACATCTTTTTTTTTTAAAAAAAAAAACGATTTAATAGTACTTATTTAAGTATATTCTAAGAGATTTCGTGTAACATCTAGGATTGGTAATGCCCTTGTTTTTTTTGTCAATCTTTATTATTTCTGTATTTTACCCCCTAAATTTGATTCTTGTTTTTCTAAAAGTCTGTGTAATGTTACCAATATTACCTATAATGATGATAATTTTCAATCTGTTACACAAAACCTTTTTTTTTTATCGTTATCGCTTCTTTTACTATCGTTATTAGTATTAACATTTCAAAGGATTTTTAAATGTCAGTTAATCCTGCAAACCCACCAAGACCGGCTCTTCGAGCAGCTGACCAGGAAGTTTTTGCACATATTACTGCAACACATAGATGGCAAGATATTATAAATAAAGCCATTGACAATATTCGTGATTCACTTCATTTTTCGGAAATTGATAAGAATGAAGAAGGAAAAAAAATTATGGCCTCCATGGAAGAATTAATAAATCAAATTCAAAGAAAAGATAAATTAATGTATGTATTCCTTCAACAAAATTTTTGCTTTTTTTTCATTTGATCTTTTCGATCAATTTGAGGATATTATTTTTCTTTAATGGAACAATTTTACTAATAACGATTATTATTATTATTTATGAAGTCCGATCGAAGATGATGGAAGGCCAGATATCATATCATGGAATGATGCCCTAAATACTTATTTTAAAGATGAAAATTGGTTTACAGCAACCTGGTTATTCGCCGAATGTTATTTATATCGTCGAATAATTTCAATAATTACAAATACAAAACATTGGCAAAATTATGATCCTTATTTCCGTCAAAAAGAAGATGCTTTTAGAGTATCCTTTTCATCAATAATTGAATTTTCAAAACGTATTGATGAATTAATTTCTTCACAAAAATTAAAAATTAATGATAGAATAATTTTTTATGAACTTGCTCAAATTTCACTTTGGGGAAATGCAACTGATTTATCTATGTTACCAAATTTTGGTATTAATGATAATCAATTACAAAATATTGAGTCAAAACAATTAGAAGAGTCGAAAAATTTCATTTTGGTAAATGATTTGGAAAAAACTTGGAATTGGTTATCGAAACATAATAACGCTAGAGTTGATTTTATTTTAGATAACGCTGGTATGTGCACATATATTTATATATATACACTTGACCCCCGTTAATATCAACCCATTGGATTGGGCAATTATGTTGATATATGCGAGGGTTGATAATATCGGGATAGTTTTTATATACCCTGAGTCTATTTTGTCTTAATAAGAGGTTGATATTAACGGGAGGTTGATATTAACGAGGTTGATATTAACGGGGGTCAAGTGTATATATATATAGACAAAAATATATATATTTTTTTTTACTTTTAAATTTTTTATCATGCTTATTAACGTTTAATTTTGCTTAGGGTTTGAATTATATGGAGATTTAATTTTTTCGGACTGGTTAATCCAATCAGGATACGTATCTCAAGTTTATTTACATATAAAACCAATTCCGTGGTTCGTTTCAGACACAACACTAGACGATTTCAAATGGTTACTTAAAACACTTAAAAACAATGATTTTTTTTCATCAGCTTCTGAAATTGAAAAACGTTCTCTCGAAAAACTTGTTGATCGTTGGCAATCATATATAACTAATTCAAAATGGATTATTACCTCGGATTTTTTTTGGACTTCTCCGTATTCTTTTTGGCATTTGGAAGAAAAGGCTCCTGAACTTTATGCTGATTTATGTAAATCTCACCTTGTTATATTTAAAGGTGATTTGAATTATAGAAAATTAGTTTACGATTGTAAATGGGAGACTGTTACTCCTTTTAAAAAAGCTATCGGTCCATTGGCAAATTCGAAAAATGCTCCTCCATTGTTATCTTTGAGAACAGGAAAATCGGATGTATTTGTAGGACTTGATGATGGGGTTGAAAAAAAATTAGGCTCTGATAAAAGTTGGATGTATTCTGGGAAATATGCGGTTATTCAATTTAGTGAAGGGAATAAATAATTTTTTTTAAAAGGGGTTTGTAATTTGTCTCCATGACGATGTATCGTCACCTTATTTAACGTACCCGATCGCTTCAAACGTGATCAACAATTTTTTTTATTTTAAAATTAATAAAAATCATTTTACAAACATAAAATCATTAAGTCGTTTTTTCAAAGCAATTTAATTTTATTTCACTAGATTCATTACATAATAACACGCTTGTAAGGTTAAGCTACAATTCAGACACCAAACCTTAAGTTTTCCGAATTTAGATTTTTTTAGTTACCAAATTACATATTAATCAAATAATGCTAAATCCTAAAATATATCGAAAGCACGTTTAACTCATTTATTTTACATTTGAAGCACCTTATTAAACATAGAAACTTATATATAATGATATATAATGAGATATCTCAACCTGAGTTCTACCAAGAATGACTTCAAGGTAACGATAATTTCGATGATTCTAGATGGATGCAGTGAAAAATTATCGATATAAACATATACTGATATAAACAAGCTGATCAAATTTACGATCAGGTTACACAATAATGGGTAGCGAAGCATAACAGGCTTTATTACACGTATGATTGCTGAGTTTTAAAGGTCATCATATTAGCCATGCAAAATTAATTCATTGGTTTTCATAACCCGGCCAGGTCAAAATTTGAAAACTTGTAAAAAAAATTTTTTTATGTGTTTTAATAACCGGGTGGCTTTTAAAGAAATTTTTTATAAGCTTTTTATATATGAAATTTAAAAAAAAAAAAAAAAGCCGACCGGCCGGGTCTGTTTAAAAGTTTCATGTTATGAAAACCAAGACAGTAAATTTGTGTTGCCTTATAATGAAGTCTTATTAACGATTTTCTGTCACAAAGATTGAATTCCAAGCCACGAATATGAATTCCTAGAGGTTAGAAAGTTTACTTAATAAACTGTTAAAGTAATTTAGTAGTCTGCGAAGTAATTCGTAAGTTAGATAATAGGTATGTTTGAACGTTTAAGCCAATTAAATTTGGCAATTTAAATTAGCTTTTACGTATTTTATGAAACTTATTCTTTGCGCAAAAATATTTTAATTATAGTAATTGCGAAAATTAAAATATACCATAATTAAACTTAGTATTTAAAATTCTAAAATATACGTTGCATATAGAATTTTGACAGGGCGCAGGATCGATTTTACTGTCACGTGATTCTCGGAAAACAAATGTTAATTTAAAAACTTCTTTTATATTTGAGTTAGAGTTTAGGTTAAGGTTAGGAAGGACTAGAGTATAGCAAAATT